ACTGCACCCCTATTTATAAGAACTAAAAACAACTATCTAGTGACTTTCCTAGAAATTACTTAAGTTGAAAAGTCCTAAAAATCAGCCTAAAATGGTTGCTATGGAAGTGCTTTGCAGCTGCAAGGAAAGTGTAATGAAATTGCAAGGAAACAACAAGGAAACATCAGATTATATTTCTTACAGCTTCAAGTATTGTGCTAACTATCTCATTATCATTACTCAAAAACTGATACTCAAGAAACAACACTTCAAATGAAGAACTACAGATAAGCCAGTCATAGATCTGAGCGAAGCATCGCCTGTGCAAATTGATTGGAAGGGACCATCTCTTTTCAAGATTCCAATGTGTATATTATGCATGTATGATTAGAACTTTCCATTCACAAATAGAGGAACATATATATATATATATATATATATATATATATATATGTATGTATGATTACAAGTTTCCATTCACTAATAGAGGAAAGTATAATATCTTATATGCCCAAGCACCCACATTCATCAGAGGATTTATCCAAAAGATATTCTGGACAAGAGACCATCAATAAAACGATTTCTAATGTCTATTGAAATCATCTATAACCAAGTGAAATCAAGGCAGTGCTTATCATTTGGATTATTGAAAATATGTGGTCAAGAATATCGCATTTTACTTTATAAAAAAGCAAGATATGTTAAAAAGATCCCTACGAAGCTCACGTATAAATATGCAGTGAATTTCAGAGTTTGATGTGAAGATACCATTAGAAAATTAGTTTTATGGATGTAGAATATGCATAAAGGAAATGTCACAACCAAGCAACAAACTAATCAGTGAAGTCTCAAGTCTAACCTACTGCTCCTTCTCCTGGACTTTTTGCTGCAATATACGCAAAGCCAACATCTGGGAACAACCCAATACCATTCTCTGGCATAGCAAGCACAGTTTTCTGACAGGAAAGTTTTACAAAAAATCATATACTTTAAATCATCATCCATTATACTGTGACACCAAATCTCTTCTGGAGAAGCGAACTGAGTTACCTCAGTAATAAGCCTGTAGCGACCATGACCAGATAGACCAATCCCAAATCCCATGGTTATCCCGTCCATAAAACAGATATATGGCTTCTTGTACTCAGAAATCTTGCATATCAGGGAATATTCAGCAGCAAACACCTAATGAAGAACTCAAAGTAACAAAGAACCTTTTGTCAGGAGGACATTTGAAGAATAATTAAAAAGCGTGAGATGAATTCCTTAAAAAATGCAACTTATTACAACAATGTAATCATAAAACCTGAAAGTCAACACGGGCAACCTTGCTATAAATTTACAAAGAAAGATTGAACTTATCTTAACGAACTAGCTGCTTGAACTTGAACAGTTAAATTAATTCACAACCATTAAAGATAGAATGATTGTTTCAACCATGCACTACTAGGGATCATGTTTGTCATAAAAAACAAATAAATCACCACTTATACAATAGTGTATTGGAAAAAGTTGGATTAAATCATTTCTTATTTCTAAAAGGCAAGTATCAATACTCAATAGTCAATTTTTCTTTTTAGTTACAGATATTTGAGCCTACAAGACCTCAATCACATTCATGTCTGACAGTTGCTTTCTTGACGTAATGTGCTTCACATCACCACCTGCATATGAGTAGTTAACTAAGACTCTTCAGAGGGCAATACGCAAGAGTTGATCCAATCAATCTCAAACTGGTCCACTACTTATGTAACTAAAAAAGCGAAAAAACAAGTTGCATACAATGTTCAAGCAAAAGCCAGAATGTTCACACTTTCAAAGCCGAATTTCCAAATTATGAGGTCACAGCATGCAAACAACATTTGTGGTAGGCAACCTTTTGCACAAGAGTTGAGGATTTGTCCTTTCGAATTTCAGCAACAACACCCTTAATATCCATTCCTGCATTGTCATGAATGTTTACCCTCAAGACCATGGCAAACACTCAAGAAAATGTACAAGTATGACAGTGATGCAATATCATCAATCCACATACCAAAATCCAAGTAAATTACAACTAACTACAACACAGACTAAACTTACTTAGCTTGGGAAACAAGATTAAAACAAAAATTTATGCTCTAACCTGCTGAGAATGCACGAGACGAACTACTTTCAACCAAGACACACTTTACCCTTGGGTCTGTTTCCCATTCTTCCAGAAACTTCTTGTATCTAATGTCCATATCTGCAGTACCCAACCACAACAGTTAGAAACCAACGATTTTGATCCACCAAAGAAAACAAGGGCAAGTTCAAAGGATCCCAAACCTAGGTTCATAGCGTTAAGGGCTTTGGGGCGATCCAGAGTTAAGAGAGCGACGCCGTTTGGGAGCACATTCCCTCTTACGAACTCGTCGGCCATAATCGCAAGGCTTCGTACTGTTGACTGGCGGAAACTGTGGGGGTTTGATGCGTGAAAGGATGTGCAGAGGAAAGGCAGCGTGGGTATATGATTTTGGATCACCAGCTGAAACAAACTACGCATGATTTCCACCAAATATCAAGTGTAATTGTTTCAGTGCAAGTGAATTACACCCCAATCACATGGAGACAAAAAAGTGTCGTGGGGATAACAATATTTTTTCCAACAACAAACAACAAACTTTTATTAACTAATAAATAAATACAACAATTCAAGTTCAACGAGAGTATAGTGAGCATGAATTGTAATGTATGTGTCAATTAAATCGATGGATGGTCTTCTATCAACGTGGCACAAATAGAAGTTGAAATTCATCAAAAGTCTCTGATGATTTATTTTTTATCTTCGTGTTATCCATTTAGTTTGTATGGTTTTGCTGTGAAGTTAACTGTTGCTCTATAGTGGAGTCAACCTTCTATATACAGCAAGTAAATCATATCATATTAATAAATGTATTAGTGTTATTTAAATAATCAGATAATATGATATGGTTTACTTGTTGTATATAGAAGATTTGCTCCACTATCGAGCCAATAGTTGGCTTCATAGCAAGACCGTTGTTATCGTTATTTCGTATTATAAATAAGGGGGAAAAAATGACTCATCAAGTCTAAAATGACTTTCACATGTAGAATCACTTATAAATTATTGTCTTTTTTTCATGCCACGTCATCACAAATAAAAGTAAAAAATCATTGTTCGAGAAATTTTTTATAGAATTGCTTCTACAGTCTTACAATTCACGTACCGTTGGAGATGCTCTATAATGCAAGTGTAGGCGTCCTGGTCCGGTTTGGAGTGGATCGATCTTTGTCCTCGCCGGTAGAACGCCGGAAACGTGCAAGTAACTCTCACACCGGGGGTTGTGTCCGGTGAAGAGCCTCTGATGCTTAAGTCAGTATGTGTATGAGTATACTGAAGTGAAGAATGAATAGAATGTGTTCAAGGAAGAAAGGCTCACCCTTTTATATAGGGGTGAGATATCTACCCTAATAGCTGCCCAGATAAGGATGAGTTGGCTGCCCAAGCTGCCCGTCCGTACTCTGACACGCCGCTCACATGTCAGAGGTGGTGCAAGGCGTTGGGAGCTGTCAGAGGTGGTTATCGCTATCACCCAATACATTCTCGACACGTGTCCTCCTGCACATGGGGTAAATATTCTCCTGGAATTCAGCTGAAGCTCTTACACGCGCCTGTGACTAGGCCGATCTGTTGAACGTTGAGTCCGCGAGATGCTCGACCTTCTGAGGTCGATAGGATTGCTCGATCGTTTGTTTGGTCGAGCGATGGGTTGGTCGACTTGCTTGACTGGTCGACAAGTTATTTTGCTCGATCTTCTCCTTGCCTGGCTCGATTCCTTCATGGTATGACCCTCTAAACCGGTTCGGCGGATCGGTTTAGCCTTGTGTATATAATATCCCATATCACTCTAATTAGTTACAAAGCTACCACTCTATCAGCAATAAGAGAGCACATACCAAATACCAACATGAAAATCAAATTAGATTCCATTCAATAGTCATAGTGACTAACAAATAACTATTAGAACAAATATTACAATCCCAATAAAAAGTACACCAATCTTCAAATTCGATTCCATAATCATCATGTTATCCAGACAAAAGCTGACAACTTTTTAGTTTAGCTTCAAAGTCTCCTCCATAACCCACCTCAATGCAACCAAAACAGCCTCCACTGAACTCCCAAGGAAGTCCCAAGATTTACCCTTTCTTGTAGCATCTCTGAGTCTCTAACTGCCAAGCATCCCAACCCAACCAAGTCGTTTGTATAACGCCTAGAATATTTTTATTGTTTATGGAGCTCGACTTTATTTCTATAAATAGCTAGTTTTTGTATTTGATGCATTTATCTATTATTATTTGTATTAAATCGAGTATTAAATTTTAAGTCTAAGCCATGGAGAATTTATTATATTTTTAATATTAAAATCGAACTTATTTAGCTCAAGTATCGGTTTTATTTTTAAAGGTAAACTGAGCCTTGGAATAATCGGAATTTTATCTACTCGGCCCAATAATCGATCCATTTTATTTCGGTCCATTTCATTTAATCGAGCCCATGTTCGATTTTTTTAGTCCATTTTAAAAATCGAGCACATGTTCGATTGTTAATTTCGACCCAATCATAAGTCGAGCAAGCCATCGTTTCATTGTTATTTATTCAGTCCTAGTAGCAATTTTTAATTTAAGCCCAAGTCTAGATTTAATTTTCTAAGCCCAAGTCAAATAACTATGAGCCAAATTTTTAGAAGCTCAAATCCTACATCAAACCTTAATTCTCACACATCTATAAATACTCCATCTCCCTCATTTCCCCAACACATCAAACCCTAGCACAACTCCATCTTCTTCATCTTCTTCAAAAAAACTCTACGACCTATAATTTCAAGAGTTAAAATATAACATTTACATAGCAAAATATATCATTTCCATTTGACATGGGAGTGAGCACAAACACTTGCTCACTACTATGCACATAAATCACAAATATAGATAGACGGATATGGTCGCAGCATGAACACGAATCAATCAAATATCCCATAGTTTAATCATCATAATACTCATGTGCACATCTATTATTAGCTATTGATGGACTATCGAATGTCTCCCTCAGGGCCTTACATCAACACCCAATCAGTAGGAGTATATGTCAAAGGCCTCACTTAGGGTCTTACAATGACATGCATATCGAAGGTCGAAGGCCCCGCCCTGTTCTTCCAATGATATGGCCCGCCATAAGTCTTAGGGAGACTACCTCACATAGGGCCTGCATCACTTAGGCAGGGATAACCGTTTGACAGCCGACACAGCTCACATCGAAGGTTACATGGTTCACATGCATACATTGATCATACCATCGAAACAAATATAAACAACTTACGACATATATATTTAAATAAACCCACCTGGAAACAGCAGGAAAAAATATCACGAATCTGTTGGTAGGGTGAGAGCACGACTCGTCAAACACATACATTTTATCAAGATAGTCTTATCAGCATGCTATCCTGACACTTAGGAATATTCGCAAGAATTCTTACTTAGTCGGACATCATCGACTAAGTGATTTGTGGGATTTGTGGAGTTTGGAACTTTTGGATTTGACAACTAGACTCGGAAAAACC